CAAGGGAATAATTTCCTTACTCCTTTTAAAGTTGTCACATGGGGAGGATACACTAGAAATTGCTAACAACGACTGCAATGGCTGAGGGTGGAAGGCGACAGTCGGAATGGGCAGAAAAAAAAAGAAATGAAAGTGAATGAACCTAACTCAGAGTTTTACTGATAACGTGACTGAACAGAGAGGGACTGAGTGGCTTTCAAACAAAGCGCATTCACTACGATAAGCGTGAAGGAAAGGTGCTCGCTCTTTACTAGGGACAGCGCGTGTACTCTGCATTATTACTGCATGTGAGCGGGACATGGTGTTCACCTTCCCTGCGTGGGGTCGCCACCTGGACATAGCACAGCTTCGCTGCTTTTTTCGTCCGCTTTCCCTCCTTCCTGCCACCCCTCCATCTCTTGATCCCCTTCCCTTTTGGGGGAGATTGATCTCCCTATTTACAATTGTCTGTTATGTTGCTTTTTATTTGTACTTTGGGATTTTCATAGAAGAGAAACCATATGATAGTGAAGCTTATGTGTCTGATTTATTTCATTTAACATTTTGGCCTCAAAGTGCATTCAATTTCCTGGAGATGATTCAAGTTTACCCTTCTTTAAAGCAGAGAAGTATTCCTTGTTTGTAAATAACAAAATTCCTTTACCTATTTATCTGTCAATGGACACATAGGCTGCTTCCAAGATTTAGCTGTTACGAATTGTGCTGCTATAAACATGGGTGTACATGGATCACTGTAACATGATGTCTTTAACTCTTTTAAGAAGATACCTAGAAGGGCTGGGTCAAATGTAATGTCTAGTTTCAGTGTTTTGAGGAATGTTCGTATTGATTTCCAAAGTGGTTGTATTCCTATACATTCCTTCCGACATTGTAGAAGAGTTCTTTTTCCTCACAGCCTCATTAGCATTTGCTATTATTTGATTTCTTGATGGTGGTTATTCTTTCTGGGATAAAATGGAATCTCAGTGTTGTTTTAATTTGCATGTCTCTAACGCCCAGTGATATTGAGCAGTCCTTTATGTATGTATTGGCCATTTGTACTATTTCTGTGAAATGTCTATTCATTCACCTGCCCAGGTTTTGACTGAGTCTTTTATTACTTTGGAGATCCAATTATTTTTTAGTTCTTTATATATTCTAGATACTAGTCCTCCATATGAGGAATAGGTGGCAAAATTTTTCCCATTCTGTAGGTTGCATTTCTTTTGCTGTGCTGAAGCTTTTTAATTTGATATAATCTCATTTGTTGACACTCAGTACTATTTCCTACACAACCAGAGTTGTGGTCTATAATTGTATAATGTAAATAACCATAGGATAAAAAAATAGGGTGCCTGTGAGCATGATGTTTCTCCTTTGCCTCCTTCTGGCTGGCCCTGGTGGCTACACAAAACACAAGAGTTGCCCGCCAAAAACTTGTGGCTGCTTTGTACTTTAGGGACAATTACAGCACTTTGGGAGGCTGAAGCAGCATGACTGAAAGTTCAAGCACAGCCCATGCAATTTAGCAACTTAGTGAGACCCTGTCTTAAAATTTAAAATAAGAAAAAAATGGCTTGGGAATGTAGTTGAGTGTGAGGGCCCTGGTTTAATCCCCAATATCAGAGGAAGAGAGAGAGAGGGAGAGAAAGGGAATAGAAGAGAAAGAAAGAAAGATGAAAGAAAAGAAAGAAAGAAAGAAAGAAAGAAAGAAAGAAAGAAAGAAGAAAGAAAGAAAGAAAGAAAGAAAGAAAGAAAGAAAGAAAGAAAGAAAGAAAGAAAGAAAGAAAGAAAAGAAGGAAGGAAGGAAGGAAGGAAGGAAGGAAGAAAGAAAGAAAGAAAGAAAGAAAAATGATTCCAATGCTATAGCTCCAGCTACTCCAGAGGCTGGGGCAGAAGGGTCATTTGAGCTCAGTAGTTTGAGGCCAGCCTGGAAAACACAGTCTTAAAACAAAATAAACCCAAAAAGACAGAGAGAGACAGAGGGAATTAAAATATAGGAAGTAAAATATAAGACAAATCAAATAAGTACAAGTGATAAACTGAGAAATTTCTTTGTAAGAGAAAAGATACACAGACATTGCCTAAGAAGAAATATGATCTTAGAGTAATTTCAGAATCTGCATGTGTTGCTCCCAGTGACCCTCTGTGGAGGGCAGCGGGACGGTGCACATGTCCTGTGTCCAAGGCCTGGGTCTGGATCCGTTCTCCACCCAGCAAAGTCAGGGCCCTGGGAGCACAGGCTGATTCCAGGTGCGGGAAAGGTGACCACTTTTGTGCCCAAAGGAGTGTGCAGAAAATGAATTACAGCCAGTGTGAAGTTTTGTAGTAGAAGACACCCCCGCCCAGCCAGGACACTTCAGTTTCTTAGTTGCCCAGGTAACAGTTCCTGTTCCAGTTCCAGTTGCTCCTGTCTCTTAGAAACAGCTGGTCACTGTGATGCATATTGTATAAACCAATCCCCAATTGACAAGCCATTCTGCCTCTGCATGTCCTGCCTGCTCATCCCGTATCGGCCCTAGACCACCAGATCAGGGTCTGATGTTCTGGGGATGATCGCAGTCAGTAAGTAAATCTATGTAAATAAATCTCCTCCAAATCCTGGCTGTTGTTTTGGTGTTTCTGCTTGCTGTTGCAGTTCAGGCCTCCCACTGGCTGGACTTCAGGTAATTTGAACAACAGAAAAAATAAAGACTGCAGTAGGATTCCAGTCATGCCAAAATAAATATCAAAATATTGGTGGGGATATTAAAGTATAAACTAATAGGCATGTAGGTCAATAGAAACGTCTACTAAAACTAGCACAGAAAGATTAATTCAGGCAAGACCACTTGCTGGCATTTGTAAAATAAGTAAGGGCAGAAGTGCATTATCTTAGGTGATTCTTTGGTGTGTTACTATTACCATCCTGCGGTGAAGCTCTTAAGGCAGAAAATTAAATAATTTAGTCCAAGTTTATGTAACTCTTAAGGAACAGTACCGGATATTCAGTCGGGCTTGTTCGGAAGACAGTGGTCAAAGTGGAGAGCTGGCCAGATGAGGGCTGTGCTCGGGGAGTGCTGGGATAGCATATGTACAGAAAAATGGGTGGGCAGAGGACTTGAATCTACAGCATTACAAGTTACCAAAGCTGATGGGTGAATGTCTTTTTGATCTGTGGTGTTCTTTTGGTTATACGAGAAAGGGTCTCTCTGTGTACCAGGAGTAATTGAGACATGCAGTAATGTTTAAATTTTAAAACATTATCACAGCCAAAGCTAGATGGACGTTAATCCCCATCAAAACACTCTCCTTGCCTTCAAACACACTTATCCCATCACTGTCACCACTTTCTGGAACAGTTCTGCCAATTCTCTCGTGAGTGTCTCTGAGAAGTGTGAGAAAAATATGGTGAATACTGCTGCTGAGCACTATCACATGGTGAAAGGCAGCTCGTAAAAACATGACACTGTGTCCTCATCCACCTTATTCACTGGTTCTGGTGCCAAGTGACTCCTGGCTCTTCCCTGAAATTAAAATGGCCATGCAATGGAAATGTTCCTTGCATCTGTTCAGGATATCAAGGAAGCCGTAACAGCTGAACTAGACACTCAGGAAAGAGCATGCCAGAACTGCTTCGGAAAGTGGCAAGAATGATGGGATCAGTGTTTTCAAAGCAAATGGGATTATTTTGAGGGAAACTGATTAATGGTCATTAGTCTCTTACTGTATTTTTTTTATTTAGACATATCTTATTTTTCCAGCACACCACTCCAGGCTGGCCTTGAACTCATTATGTAGCCAAGGCTGGCCTTGAAATTGGGATCTTCCTGCCTCAGCCTCCCAAGTGCAGGGATCACAGCTGCACACCACCATACTCAGCTTGGGTACATAACTTTACAGTAAATAAAACTTCTCAGATATCAGATGGAAGAGACGGTAGATCTGGGCATAATCACCCAGATGTGGTCAGTCAGTGCAGATGCCTGCCCTCTGGAAACACAAGACCAGAGTACAGGAGAGGTAATGAGATTGACCTGTAGTCAGAGAGTCCTTCCCAGATGGGCTACTGTGAGAGTTCTGGGGGTCTCCGAGGGTGAAGAGGAGAGAAGAGGCCAAGGGTAGCGCGTTAGAGCGTGCTGGGAGAGGAGGCAGGAAGAAGCGGCTAGAGAGAGGAAGAAGGGCCAGGTCTGCCCTGTGCGCCAAAGCACGACGCTCAGGAGCGAACTTGAGGAACCATCGCACGGCAGCGGGGCTGGACCTGCTGGTCAAGCATGGCTGGTACCCGGGGGCTCCCTTGACGCAGAGCTTTGTTGGTTTACTTTTTTTTTTGTTTTTTTTTGTTTTTTTTCCGGTACCGGGAACCGAACTCACGACCTTGCGCTTGCCAGGCAGGCGCTTTGCCGCTGAGCTAAATCCCCAGCCCCTGTTGGTTTACTTTTAAAAATATTGGCTGGTGACTCTTTTTTCATCTCTTTGATGATGCCATACATTAGAATTAACATATGCTGGTTCTGAGCACATTCTCAAAGATTTCAAAAGAAAAAAAGTCCGAAGAATGAGAAATTTGACAAACTGTAGACATTCAAAATTGAGGACTTTATTTGGGCTGAAGTGGTTCTCTGAAGGTCCTGATTACTTTTTCTATGGTTTCTTAGCATGGATTTTTTTTTTGTAAGGAATTGAACTCAAGACTTTGCACTTGCCAGGCAGGCACTATGCTGTTGAGCTATATCCCCGACCCTCTCGGCATGAATTAAATCTAATGCATGCAGTAGATCTGGCATCGGTGTAAGGTCCCAATATGGAACAGGCTGTTAAGAAATGAAAATCACAGTGCTGTCATTCATAAAAATTTTAGATAACATTAGTTTCATTTCAGAAAAAAAAGTGCTAGTACTTTGTATCACTGGAGTTATAACTTTTTCTGCCGTCCTCAGAAGAGGGAGTATATAAAACATAAACCGAAATGCTCCTCACATCACGATGTATATTACATATTTATGCGCACACAGAGTAAAACATTTCCCTCTGCCTCTCAGGCCCAAACTGCTTTGCCGAAACTGCTGTCATCCCGGCCGGCAGGGAGGTGAAGACCGACGAGTGCACCATCTGCCACTGCACCTACGAGGAGGGCACCTGGAGGATCGAGCGGCAGGCCATGTGCACCCGACATGAGTGCCGGCAGATGTAGGCGCCCGGCCCGCACCCTCGCCCTTCTAAACGCTGTTCTGACCGAGGTTCTAGACGACTCTGGGAACTATCGCCCGAGGGAGAAGATTTTGATAAGGAACCGTGGAAAATGGTTGGTACTTTTTCTTTTCTTGGTGACAGCTGCTGCAAGGGAAGGCAGTGGATGTGTTTCAAAACGTCAACCAGGACTTTGGGCATAAAAGTCCCTCTCTAAATAAATGTGCTATTTTCACAGTAAGTACACTATTATATAATAAATGTATTTCTATAATCCCTCTATTAGAGAGCTTATATAAATGTTTTCTATAGATACAGATTAAACATGCTGTGTTGTCACCCGTCCTCCCTGTGTAGCTGCATATCTTTGTCACTCTGACTGCTGCTGGGGACACTGTCACAGGGGATACTGCACCTGGTCGTGGATCGTAAGATGAAGGACTAATTTCTACCAAACCCCTCCCTAGGTTCTGTTTACTTACAGACATTTCCCCAGTGTTTATCCTCAGAAAGTGCAGCCCAATTCACCCAATTTATGAATTCAGCCCAATTCATAAATAACTTCCTTCTTATAATAACATACAGCTTCTGTCCGCTCGCTCTGTTACTTGGGAGTCCAGTGGCCCTTGCACTTTTTCACTGACACGCACTTTTTCAGTTTTACAGAGCTCCTATATTGTGGAACAACATCAACACATACATTGTATATTTCATTTTCATTTATCTACCTTCTCTTCTTAAGCATAACTTTATTCCCTAAACTGAGGAATAGGTAGGCCGGGAAATTAGCATTATTGTTCCATCAAACTGAAGTGTGTCATAAAGTAGGAAGAAAGTCTTTTGTGTCTCTGGAGGAGCCTTAAGGAAAACTGAACTCCCAAACATGTTTACACCAGAAGCCTAACTATGCCATGGGCAGCAGATCTCAGTTCAGCACAGTCACCTTAGTAACTGGGATGAAGCATCTGTCCTCTCTCACATACCCAGGAAGATCCTGGTTGATAACCCTGGCTCCATCGCTGTGGAGAGCAGAACAAAAGCAGGTCCTCTGTCCAGCAGCATTAAAACAAACCAAGCTGAAGACCAAGGGTATTCTATAGCCTTTCCGCAGCACATGTAACCCACGCCAGCTTCTTTTCTCTTCACGTGAACAGGGAACAAAAAAGAGGCCACTGCAAATGTGTATTGGAGAACAGTTCCACTTTTAGGGATCCCATCAACAAAGAGATAGTGAAAGAAGCAGTCAGGGTATTAATAGATGTGAGGTGAAAAAATCAGAATTATAGTAACTATTTGAGGTCCTCTTCACCTTCCAGAATTTATTCAAATTTATTCCCAAAGTTTGAGTTAACCATTTACTAAGTATAAAGTATTGTAAAGCACCTTTGGTCTCTTGTATAACAGAAATAAGACATCCTAGTATATTTTATTAGGAGCTAAAATTAGGAGCCATGAAATTTCAGTAAGAAAGACTCCTTAAAAAATGTGCCCACTATTTTTTATATTAAAAAATTCAAGGGGCTGGGGATTTAGCTTAGCGGCATAGCGCCTGCCTGGCAAGTGCGAGATCATGAGTTCGATTCCTGGTACCGGAAAAAAAAAAAAAAAACAGAAAAAAATAAAAATTGAAAAATAAAAAATTCAAAAATTAAATGTTGCATAATACAGTTTTCAAAAAATATTGATACATGTGCCATTGTTAAGAAGTTGAACCATTGTGGATGTTAGTAAATGTAAAGCTACAAATTAGAACCATCAGGACATTTACATATGCACACATTTAATTTTTATTTTGCTCATGGAGAATATCTTTAGTATAGTAGACTAATATGTATATAGGTTTCATTAAACTACTCAGGGGAATTAATTCATTTTCCTCAGGTGTGATCAGCTTCCCAAAACTAAACTTTAGTATTAAAGACTATGAGAATTTAGCTATCCCTCCAGTATTACAGGGGGATTTTCTTGAGACAAGGTTATACAGCTTATCATCCCACTGACACATGCCCCCACTTCTTGGACAGGTGAGCCATTGAGCTCTCTCCAGTCATGCACGAGTGGCCTCCACTCTCCCCCAGACACTGGGCAGTGAGAGCTCGGTTTCTGTGGCCCGTCTTCCCATGTCCCTCGGTGATGCAATCTCAGTAGGGACAGAGCACAGTGACGTCACTGCGGCAGCCAAACGCTGCAGTGCTGCAGGGACTTGGGGCTAGCACTGTGTTGCGTGGAGAGTGAACAAGGTGCTCTCTGGGGAGACCCACTGATTTTCACTCTGTCCAAGCTGGTGGCACCCACACTTGTCCCAGGCCCACTCCCAGAAGCTGGAGCTCAGTGGCTGCTACCGCACAAGCCTCACTCCCTCCCTGTCCCTATTTCAACGCCCATGTTTCTCCACACACGCACAGTGCAGGAACCCAGCGTGGTGGGACATGGAGGACTGCACACACTTATGAGGCTGTGCTGTGCTTGGACAGAAGCTGCTCTTCCTGTGGGTGATCCAGCCTTTCAGGCCCACAGAGCTTTCAGAAGTAGACGTTTTGTTTCCTTCCCTTCTGATCTTACAGAACTCTTTGACAAAGTGCTCTACTGAGCAAGCACGATAACCTCAGTTACTACATAGTAGAAAGAGGACAGAATGAGTCCAAGTTGTCTGATTCCAGCATTTCATGGCATCGACATCGAAGAAGCCATTCCAGTTCAGAAGTTTTTGGAAAGCCATAAATGTTTAAAATTTGAATAGGCTCTATAATTACCTAACGGTTGTTAAGGGATTTAGCCAAGTAGTTTTTCAAAAAGGAAACTGTGCTCACAGTACCACATGATTGCAAAACTTTCAACCTATATTTACATCTACAAATTTGTAGTCCCTTGGGTAAGCCACAGAATGGTTCTGGAAATGATCTAACCTTACGCTGTAGAAGTTTTCCACGCAGACTCATTCTCTCCCTCCTAGGGTGGGTGGATACTTCAGCAATCCCGCCTACATTTCACAGAAGTCTTAGGCAATTTCCAAAGTGTGCGGCTCATTCTTGTGGGCCGCAAACATTAGATGCACTGCACGCAGGGGTTGGGACCCCTGAGTCCAAGGAGTTTATGTGCCTTGAGACCAATTTACACTTCATGATATGAACCTCGTTCTTTCCGTAGTTGCATCGCCTGCTCTGCATAATAAAGCATGTTAAGAGATGAGCACATACCACTTCCCTAACTTAAGTATACTGCATTGACACAATTTTTGAAAAGTCTTAAAATATTTCAGGGTGTAGATGTTTTCTACTTTTTGTTTCAGTTTCAAGCAGTGAAATGAAAAGTTTTTATGGATGCATTATTTGAAATATACAAGATACACTATTGAAATAGTGTATACTATGAAATATACACTATACACTATTTCAAACAAGAATTTTTGGAAACCACATCTGTTATTTTAAACTATGTGAATATGCAGAAAACAGATAGAGGCACACAGCGTGACTGAACGAATATTAATAGTTTACCAAATTTGCTTCAGTGGGCAAGAGATCAAGTCTGCTTTTGAAAGTTGGAATTTTTTTTTTCTTCAACACAATGTAACATGGGAAAGCAACCTAGAGTTACCCAGAGTCCCCTTCTGGGTATAGGCAGCTTCAGAGACGCAGATAAACTCCCCTGCTCAGAATGTCTGCCCCTCTTGGCTGATCGAATTTGTAACCCTGAGTTCTCACTGAGCCAGAATACCTACACTTTTCTCCCCCACTACTCTCTGGGGATGGCTAACGTAGTCATAACCACCCTAAATAACTGGACTTGGAAAAAACAATCACTTATTCTGGAATAAGTGCATTTTTACAGCACGTTCTTTTTACATTCCAACTGCCACTTCCAGAGCTCAGTGTCTTGTTCCAGTGTGGAGATGAAATGGCCTCCTCAATCTGCCTTCTCACGAAAAGGCCACTGTTTTAGTCTTTTAGATACAGATCTTAGCCTCATCCTCACCTGAATTCTTTGAGGATCCCAATCCCACACAGTATTACAGCCAAGCTCTTCAGCATAGTAGACTGATCTCTTCAACGTGAGGCTGGTTAACAAACATTCCTAAGTAGGACCCAGCCCTGCGCTGGGAATCGCATGCAGTCTGGGAATTCAGAGGTGTTGCCTATCCTTGATTTTAAGACCACTATATAAAAGAAGGAGCAGCTAACACCCCCCAACCTCCCTTGCCTGCCCTCTTTTTCTGGTTTCTGGGTTACCTTGCAAAGCTTAGGTATCCAGGGTGCAGCCACAGACCGAATACGCTGCTGTTACAATAGTTTTGGATGAACTGTGGTAGCTGCCTGCCATTTCTAATGCAAGTAAGGAAAAAACATGCTTTCAGTGTAAATGTTCTGATGCTGAAGCAAATGTCTTACAGTGAAGAAAGACTGGCACATACGAATGATAGAAGAAAAGTTTACAGTTTCAGTGTTTACCTGCTTGCTTCCAATTTCTGGAATGCAAATTTCTAATCTTAGACTTGATGATTTCGAGCATTTCTGCACATTGTAACCTTTCTATATATCATAATGAACACCTCTGGTGTAGGAGGTGTCTAGAAAATTATAAACCAATGAGCTCAGTATTCTGGCAACAGTACAGTAGTATTGCTGGAAAAGTGTTCAAACCTGACATCTAGATTTCACCACAGTGTCTGGTTTCATTCTGAATTTTGCAAAGTGCCTACTGCTTTAGTTTTAGCGCACACACACACACACACACACACACACGCATACACGCACACAGGCACACACAGGCTATAGAAAGAAACTAAATCCAAATGCCTAACTTTTAAGTGAATAAATCCTACTGATTATTCACACCAACAAGCTGAGAGTGTTGACCTAAAGTTTCAGTGACATGAAAGTTTAAGTTCCAACCGCTTGGCCCATAGGGAACTCTTGATCCAAGACATGTACACTGCCTCACTCCTGTTATGTCCAGAAAAGTGCATAAAGCCCATGGCTGACCACTGTTCAGACAGTTATCAAAAGCAATTAAAGAACAGAGCTGACAGCGTTTTGCACATTCTGATGTGATTAAAAGAATTATAAATATTCCCCCTTAATAACACTCAGGAACAGAAGCACTACCCAGTTTTATTTAATATATAATAATACTTTGTTCAAAATTTAATGGTTAATATTTCCCACTTTTTAAATTCTTGGCATTTAAATCTTAGGCAGAACTATGTTCAGATACATTTAGGAGAATATTCATTTCTCTCATTGTGTTTATTACATTTCAATTAAAAATCAAATTCTATTTTATCTCTACTTGAATTCAGGGACTAGTTACTTCCAAAGCCTATAATTCTCAAAATAGAAAAGGGTGACAAAATATCCATTAAGTATGTCTTTCGATGAGACTATAACTGTGCTATACATAAACGAGTAGTTTATTCCACATTTTTAAAAAATACACTTTTAGGCAATCAGTGAATGTATATCATCAGCCAAGAATTATGCTAGATTCTTTCACTTATTTCATTTAACCTCGTGAGCTCCCCCCGCAAACAGGGGGTGACACTGTTCACTTTTTCACAGAAACTTAAACACGAGTTCAGGGAAATTCAGGAATCGCCTCAAGAATCAGCCTCGTGAAGGAAGGGTACAGACTCAAAGCTGCTGAGCGCCAGAGCCTGGGACCTGAAGTTTTACCACTATCAGGGGCAATGAGCAATCCGACAGCAATTTCCAGATGCCCTCGCAGCCCGCTCCAGTGGAGGAAACGAACAGCAGTGTACTTGCTAGTTCCATAAAGGCAGTCTCGGCATTTGTCAAAGTAAAAAGTAGCTCCTCCCAAAGTTTAGAAATACTTTAAGCTTTGGCACATATTTTGATTCTTGATAAAACAAAGTTCTCAGAAACTTGTTAAAACAGTTGTCAGAATCAGCAGTGCTTTGTATGTCTTTGTTTAGGATGATCTTTGTGGGGAAATAAAATGTGAGCAAATAGTGTGACCCATGTTAGCTTCACGGAGCTAATTAAAGTAAACTACCACTCATTAGGTGAGATGTTTAACTTGCCCATCTGATTTCTCCTGTTACCGACTCTGGGTATCCGTGAGGAAATCAGCACGTGGTAGGTCCTTGTCCAAGTCCAGTGAAGGGCTGAGCCATGTCTGTTTCCAACGCCCAGGAAACCCCAAGGTCGTCATGAGGCACAGGCGGGCTAGAATGGGTCACTCGGCCTCCATTCAACAGTCCTTCTAGGGGAGAAGATGTCAACCTCATCCAGTCTTCGATTTCACCTTACAGATATCGGCTGAGTGTTTTCTATGCCAAATTTACTTTAGACCTGGCTGATTATGTACAGTCCCTGGACCCATAGAGCTCTGAGCGTAGTATAGCCAACCTGCCGAAGTCCTTACACCCATAAAAAGAATGTTGGCATTGTACACTCTTTTGAACTTTTATGCTAAAGACATTAACTTATATCAGGTATCATCAGTTATAATTTTAAATAAAAGTGTTGCTACCTCTTGATACTCAGTAGCTCGAGATAAGATTATAAAGTCAATGTTACGTGGTACC